GGCTGGCCGATCTCCCCTTCATTCTTCTGTAATGTACAGGAATGCTCAGAGATATGAAGGTACGCACTGGTGGACAGTATTTGCTCAGACTCATTACTGAATCTCTGCCATTTTAACTTGACATTTTGGACCATTATTACCTGTCTGACATTTGAGGGCCAGAACAACGTGTCTATGAAGAGCTGATTACATAACGGTCCGCCCGCCTGCACATCTTGTTTACTCCTGAGGAGCGACTAATATAGAGGGAAGCAATTAATATTGTCGACTTTCAATTCACACAATTAATGCTACACACAAAGGTCTCAGCTCCATTACACAGGCTGGCTGCGCTGGTCACCCGTGCAAAAATGTGAAACGAGTCTGAGTACAAGCATTAAGAGCCCGTGGGCACCGTCGAGGGGCTGTGATGCTGTGTTCCTGGATCTGATGTGGTACTTACGGTCTTGAGCTAAAGGCAATCTTAGATCAGCATGTTGTGAGACTTTCCAAGACTGAATACTAGAAAGGAGAATCAACAACAACAAACTCTCCCACAAAGAGCTTCCGCATTAAATACCGGTCCATTATCTCAACTGCAACACTAAATCTGAAAGAGCCAATCTTAAAGGGGCGTAATAAAGGTGAAGGACGGCTGATTGGTGGATTGGAAGGGTGGGCGTAAGACAAGAGGCCTCCAGATCTTTTGATCCCTTTCTGACGCATCGATTCCTCATCATTTCCCATGGACCTATGAAGTAAAGCCAATCAATTTTAGTGCATTTTAAAGAATTGTTTCACTCGGTTCTATAAATTGAGGGCAGAGTGAGTCACTGGACCAGTTCTCCAGAACAAACCAAAATCCCATTCACAAATACAACAACTCCACACAGAGATTAACATATCGAACAGACCAGAATTAGATATGAACCATGACAAAAATGCCACATAATGTGAAAATAAACGAACAGCTATATATTTAAAATGCCTCAATATACAAGCATCACTGAATGTGTAGCATTATTAGATTTGTTTTATTCAGTAATTTCACTTTAATGGCAATGAATAGGTTCTTTCCATTGCCATTTAAGTGAAATAACTGAACATAAACATAGGAGCCTGAGAAAAATGCTCATTTTAGAAGAAAATTTAAAATGGCACTTAGAGGCTTTTGCATCTGAACTCTTCATTGTAGCAATAGCCAAAAATACATTGTATGGGTCAAAATTATTGATATTAAGTAAAGATCATGTTCCATGAAGATATTTTGTAAATGTCCTACTGTAAATATATTAAAACTTAATTTTTTGATTAGTAATATGCATTGCTAAGAACTTCATTTGGACAACTTTAAAGGCGATTTTCTCAATATTTAGATTTTTTTTGCACCCTCAGATTCCAGATTTTCAAATAGTTGTATCTCGGTATCTCTGTGTATGTCCTATCCTAACAAACCATACATCATTGGAAAGCTAATGTATTCAGCTTTCAGATGATGTATAAATCTCAATATATATATATATATATATATATATATATATGTGTGTGTGTGTGTGTGTGTGTGTGTGTGTATTTATATGTTGCAATTATATTCTATGTCTTTTTTATATGGTTAAAAAAATATGCCTTCAATCAATTTCAGTGGGCAAATACTGGTCATATAATAACATTTTAATTTTGACACTGCTTTGAACAAACCCATTATTCAGATGAGGATAGAAAATTCAAACGGCATTTCTGAAGTGGGCTGTAACAGTGTGAATTCAGAATTTAAGAATTGTCTCCTATCCCATTCATGAGCCGGAATTTGAACTGATAGGGTCTTATTTGTTAAATATAACTAAATAATAAATGTAAACATAATCTACGTTAAATATGCATTCCTATACTGTAGGTGGCATTTCAAACATTAATTACGAATATCATTTAACGTTTCTATGTGAACATAATGAACTATCTTGACATGTTTATGGGTAATTCATTCTGAAACCTCATTCCATTTTAATCCTTATATTTAAATTTGAATTTGAATTCTGTATTTGTTTTGTTACTTCAGTTCCAAACCGATTCACATTCAGGAATTTAAAAGTCATTCTAAATTCAGTTATGAATGGCGCTCAACCCTGCCACCCACGTACAGTCCCGTAGACGGATCCCTTTTCAGGCAGACAGACAGACAGCTCCCACTCTCTTCTCCTGCTGGATCATAGAGAGAGACCAGCCACTGACCAGGAGAACATGAATGAAAGACTTTTTCACTCTGAGCAAACACAGCAACAGAGCAGCAATGACATTTATGCACACACACACACACACACACACTCATCACACACAAAACCAACAACAAACTCAGGCGCTACACATAACACATCATCACACACAACCCTTATGTGCAACAAACACAAAAAGAGGAGAATTCAGGGAAAATGGAGGAAAAAAGGGCAAAAACGTCTCGGTTACGTATGGTAACCCTCGTTCCCTGAAGGAGGGAACGGAGACGTCACGTCGGATGACCGACGAAATTGGGATCTCGCTTAGAGGGACCAATCTACTTCGAGTGTCTGGCTCACCCTCCGATGCTGCAATCGACATCCGATCGTCGGGGGGAGCCTCGGAAGAAACAGGTGGTATCCCCCGGGAGGATCCAGCCTGCTCTCTCGAGGGCTCCGCTGGCTTCGAAGTGCCGGCTGGTTCGGGCATCCCCTTCCTTGTAGGAGGGGAATTCCTCACCGTGACCGTGAGACCAGTCCGCCCACTGCCAGAAAAAGGGTACCCCCGGCTGCCACCAGAGGGAACCCCAGATCTAGGCAGTGGCACGGGCACTCCGCCCCCTTGCAGGTAACGGAGTCTGGTCCGCAACTCCGAGATGGTCATACCCCCGCAATGGGAGCATGAGTCATCCTCGAAAGCCGCCTCAGCGTGCTTCACGCCCAGGCACGAGAGGCCGCGATCGTGACCATCACCCGGCGCCAGGTAACGACCGCACCCAGAAACACACGGGTGGTAAGACATCTTTAAAAAGACGCGTCTTCAAAAAGACGTTCCACCCGTGAAGCTCTTTTAGTATGGAAATTGCTCTTTCAGTGTGCTGAAGCGCACAGGGGAGATGGCCGTCTGCAACACACACAGGGGTAGTGCAGCCTGTTGTGTGCAACCCACTCGACACGGGAAACCACCACCGCTGAAGCGCCGTACCGCCAACACGAAGAGCTCTCCAAGAGCGCACTGAACACGTTCAGTCTTCTTTTCTCAGTAGAGTAGTCAGGAGCAGAACGATGTGATCGCTCGGCTCCTCAGCGAAAAGCTGAATATGCGCTGCATCTGCTGCCTACTTATACTCACGCTGTGATCAGCAGCAGCTGGATGCAATAATCGCATGCCAATGTGCATTGGCTCGTTTAGTTTACACTCGAAGTAGATTGGTCCCTCTAAGCGAGATCCCAATTTCGTCGGTCATCCGACGTGACGTCGAGAGTGACCGACTGAAAGGGAACCTGCTTTATGTCTCTCTCTTTTCTCTCCTTGACTCCCGGAGAGCGAGAGAGACATGCCTTCCAAAAAGGAGCAAAGTAAACTTTCAAGAAGAAAGCGCAAGAACTCAACGCGTGGGAGAGAAAGGAGACGCAATGTTATTTATATATTTCTGTTTATCTGTTTTCCTGTCATTTATTCAGAATGCAGCGTTTGAAACACCCCCTAGGATGAGAACGAGAGGAGAGGAAAAGGAGATGGCAGTGGCACAGCTGCAGAAATTGTTCGGGGACTCGTGATAACTAGAGAAAATATGCAATATAGAGAAAAATGGTGAGGTTATAATACATTTTTCTCTGGCCTTTTTCCTCCCATCACATTTCATCTTAAATGGAGTGATCCATGATGTAGAAAAATGACTGCAGAACTGATCTAATATGTGTCTGATTTTACCTCACATCATTGACTATTACTGATGATATAATATCTGTTGGCTAGCTGATCTCTCTCTCTTGCTCTTTGTCACTGCGTAGGTTTAATTTGTGGAGATTAAAGGACACATAGCAAGGCGCAGATGGGAGCTGTTTTGTCCTGAAGCATATTTTCCCCCCGGCTTACCATCACCCTGGACCACATGACACAAAGCCACTGATTTACTGCATCCAGATTTACCTGAACTTGACATCCTTCTTTTCTCACAAAAAAAAATTTAAAAAATACAGACAAATCGCATAAACTAAGCCAGACATCTCCTCTAGAGACAAACGTCACTAGTGAGAGCTAACAGTACATGAAATCTTTGTGACTAATATTTTAATATTTTCAAATACTTCAATATCAAAAAAACGTTCCTAAATACTCACAAGTGGAGCTTAACAACACTTAAAGCTAGGGATATTAATCAGCTGAATTGTGATTAACAGTAGGTTTTGATCCTTTTTTAAGGAAAAATCAATAATTTTGGACAGCAGTAGATTTATACAACAGAGCTCTGTTGTAATTAATTAACCACATTTTATGCGATTTAATTGAGAATGCATTTTAAATTACAATTCAGTTCTTGAATCTGAATGCTTGAAAGTACCAAAAGTGAACCAGAAATCAATTCAACAACTAAAAAAAAAATTTAGGTCAAAATATTAAACCAAACCTTTAATGTTGGACTGACACAGTCAAACATCAAAATATTTTCGGGGGGAAAATGTTTTAAAAGACTTGATGTTTGATGGTTTATAGGCTAGCTAAACAGAGCAACAGAATAACAAACAGAACGAAAGATAGATAGATAGATAGATAGATAGCCCTACTTAAAATGTTTTCGAAACACTGCAGGATTGAATATAAATGCTATAAACACTAGTACCTCTGGTGTCAACACCGTGTCTCTAATGCTTCACCACAAGCCAGCTTCATCTCAGTTGTTTATTACAATGCTGTCTTATGCCTGTAGAACTGCTGCGCTGTTGACAGAGTAGTTTCTATCGTTCTTTGATTTTTCTCAAGGGTAACCCAAACACAACAGGCAGCGTGGGTGGCTCGAGCACACTTACGATGTTCATAAGAGTGAGAAGGTACTTCTCCACTTTCTGCTGCCCGTGAAACTGCACCACGGAGTCGTCCACCCCCAGCAAAACCTCAATGTTGTAGATTCGTTCCGGCAGCTGTCTGCGGGCTCGTCGGCTCTGGTTAATACTGCTTTCAACACCCTGATACAGAGTCTCAAGGTCCAACAGTCCGCCCAAATCAGCACCTATGAAGAAACACAGTGTAAACTGATAAATCATTACAGCAATGCACAGAAATTGGTACTTCCTTTTTTCTTTTGAGTGACATATTGTTAAAGACATGAAAGGAAGAAACCTATCAAACCACTAGCCACTATATGTGGTGTCATGGGGTCATTTCCTCTCCAGGCGGATAGATGGAACATGGAGGAGAGAACACATTGAGGAAGATCTATCACCTTGTCTCCATCACCCAATCAGCTGGGGGCATCTTCTATGCTCCAATTATGTAACGTTTCCTAGGCAACCTGCTCATGGGTAAACCAACACTCGGTGCAGACTATTATTAGCTCACCAGTCACTTTCTTATTGGATGATAATCCAAGAGTAAGAACAATATTCATCATCTTAATGCTGAGAGTCAGTAACATATTATTATAGGGCTACAGAGGCAAGAAGACAAGCAGAGAAAATTTCCAATAAACCAAAACGAAAGGTGTCGGAGTGTTTTTTTTTTTTTTTTCATTTGTGTTGGTGTTTATTATCATGAAGGATTTTGTAGGGTTGTAAACTTCCTCTCACCAGCAGGTGTTCATAATATCACAGCCCGTGTCAGCAGATTTCCACACAAAACTGGAAGAAAGCTTCTACAGTACAACAAAAGCAATTAACATGCTCTTGGCTCATGTCTTTTATTATGCACAGTATTCTGTATAAACATAAGAATTTTTGTGGTAATACTTTATTTTAAGGACCAGTTCTCACGATTAACTAGTTGCTTATTAGCATGCATATTACTAGCACATGTATTTATTAGGTACATATTAATGCCTTATTCTGCATGACCATTTAGATCTCTTAATCCTACACCCCATACCTATATTGAACTTAAACTTACTAACTATTCTTAGTTAATAGCGAATAATAGTGTCGATTTTGTAGCAATACCTGCACCAGGCTGATATTATAGCATACACTTTTCAAGGCTGATGATGATCTGAGGGTCACCTCAGAACCTGTTAATACCAGTTCAGAAGCTAATAAAAAAGTGTTAAATATTTGCTTTTTTTTTTTTTTGAACCAAATCTACTCAAACTGAGTCTACACATTATTGTTTAAAAGTACGTTTTTTTAAAAGAATTTTTTTAATGCAAGGGATGCATTAAACTGATCAAAAGTGACAGTAAATGCATTTATAATGTTCAAGCAATTCAGCATATTAGAATGATTTCTGAGGGATCATGTGACACTGCAGACTGGAGTAATGATGCTGAAAATTCAGCTTTGCCATCACAGGAATAATTTACATTTTAAAATAAATATATTAAAAAGTTATTTTAAATTGTGATAATATTTCACACTATTACTATTTTACTGTATTTTTGATCAAATAAATAGCAACATAATGCACATAAATGCAACATAAAGAAATATTCAATGAAAAACATGCCTTTTTTATATCCATTATCATGGAAAAATAGTTTATTTGGGAAAAGAAACAATACAGTTTTCCTTAAGGGAGATTTCCCCTGCTCTACCCTACTGTGACGACTAACCTCCTTCTATGACATCTGCCTTTTTCTGCTATTCTGTGATCCTCCAAAACTTGACCCATCACCCTGCCTGTCAAATACACCCAGCTCCGTACTGATCTCATGAGAGAACATTCACATTCAGGCTGAGGAGTCCTCGCCCTTATCAGGACACAAAGCTACTTTGTCTTTCAACCTTTGCAAATGTCAAGAGAACCTATGAGTGAGAGAAAGATGGAAGAAACGCAGGAACGAGAGAGGGGAAGGTGCTCAGAACATTTGAAAAGATTGATATCATGTACTGCAGTTGTGATGTAAGTACTGAACTCACAGTAGGTAATTTCACTTGGTTTCTAACATCTCAAACTATCACATGCTCATCTCCATGAGTGACAGATTTATGGTCGTCGGGCCGCCAAACTGCAGAACGAGAGTTTGGTGTATCTAAACGTGTCCGCTGACACATGCACATAGAAATATGCAGACACAGCCAAGCACAAACAAGTTTTTTATCGAGGTAAAAGTGTTGCAAGAACTTGTAGATCTTAATCTGAGAGCATGTACCATACTGACAGGCCAATGTGTAAATTTATAAAGTGAAAATTTGAATGGTATTACTTTCATTTGCAGAAAATAATCCCAAACCTGCACTGCAAAAAAAAAAAAAAAATGTTTAATGTAAATGAAAATGTATTGATAGTTTTCGGATATTTCCATTTACCCTAAAACAATGCAATGAACTGGAAAAATCAACATACAGGAAATAATAAAATAAAATAAAATTCCTTCATATTAAAACAGTACATTGTGCCCTGTTTTTACCTTTCTTTTTTTTTTACAGTGTGTGTTCTGAAGTTGCACACAAATGATCACAATATAGCCAAATACAGTATAAATATAGGTCCACATAGTATAATAAATCTAGTCAAAATATTAAATATAAAGAGTTGAAAATATTCAATACAGTATAATAAAACGAGTTTAAAAATATAAAATAACAAATAATAAAAGTAGTCTGATTTATTAAATACAAAATAGTCTAGTATCCAAAAATATTCAATTACATACAATAATAAATAGTCAAAAATATTAAATACAAAAGTCAAAATAGTATAACAAATCTAGTCAGAAACAAAAAATACAAAGTCAGAATCATAGAACAGTCAAATAGAATCAAAATGTTCAGTAAAGTATAATAAATTAAAAATTATTAAATACAAAATGGTGAAATAAAGTAAAAAAGAAATAGTTATTTTATTCTGATATAGTTAAAAAAAAAGACAAACTTACTTGAATACATATTTCGTTTTGTACTTAAATTGATTTACAACCACAAGTTTGCATTTACAAACTCTTAAATCTTGAATCTTTACGTCTTGACTTCCAAAACAACTTTTGCAATTAGGCCTGTGGCAGAACTCACATGTTCACTCAAAAAGTCCAAATGCAAATGAGCAGCACTGGGCTGCAATGGGTTGTAAGGAGGCAATGAAACCTTGCACAATCACAAAAGCTGGAACAATTGATCCCTGACCAATCAAAACAGACATTAGAATATGACGATGACACAAATCAGCATCAGCACAGCATAATCAGCTATATATAAACTGTAGCTTGACTCTCCATATGATGATTCCAGATGATAAAATGATTCTCCATAAACATCAACAGAAACAGGAATGTGGCCCCTCTAAATGACCTCTAGGTCATTGCACATGTGACCTCTAAAGATGTGAGGTTTTCCAGCACAGAATATTGTCCCATATGTAGCAAAAGTATAATAATGTTCTGTAGACGATCTGCGTGCAAACAGCTTGCACATTGGCTGTGCGCCGGTAATGTCAGACAGTGTTTTTAATTAGAGTGTGAGAAAGTGTGTACATGCAGCAGATGTACAAGCGAGCCTTTCTGTGTTCTTGAGGAAGGATATCTCAACCTTAGGGAAATCTGATCCAGCTACACACATTTTCTAACAGCCAGTGCTCAACTAATGCTCTTTCTGCCTTTTAATCTTTAATGGTGTGTTGTAAAAGCCAAGATCAAATTAAGCCTTTAGGACCAGGCCATTGAGAGCTGGTAATGATATCAGTAACTAAATCATCTCCAGCAGTAATAAAGTATGCCATTTGATTAAGCTCTATATTAATGCCAACAATGCACTAATGTTTACTATGTGGTAAGTAAACTGGCAATGTTACTGTAGAATAGAGGTCAGCACCTTTTTTTAATCTATAATGGTAATCATAGTATCATTTCACCCTCCCCCAAGTAATATAATAATATAATATAATACAATATATTAATAATAATCTTTGCACATTTATCACTGTATTCCTATTCAGCATTCTCATACAATTTTTTTTCCTGGCCAAAATATATTGTAAATATATGCTAAATATATGTTGCAAAAAGTAAAGCTCAAATAAATACATTTTTTAAATATAATTTTTTTTATATATATTCAACCTTCATATACCAAAATGTATTTCAAAATGTTTTGGGGGGAAGGAAAATACATTTCTAATCTTACAGTAGCTTAAATTTAGACTAATGCAAATGTAACAGCCTACTAAAGAAAACTAGAACTAAAGAAATAATGATTTAATAAAGTTTCATTGTTATATTATATTGTAATGTTGTTGTTTTTTCAAGTCAAGTTTTTTATTCAAATGTGACTTATGTGAATGTATTTCCTTGGTTTGAAATATATGGTCAAGATGTAAAATATATTTATGTTTTGATATATTTTAAATGGAAAAAATTGCCAAAATATATATTGGCAGAAATATATTTATGTAAATACATCTCAAAACATATTTTAGGAATATATATTTAAAAATATATTTGCAAATATATATTTTTTACCGCATGGGTTATGACGATCTCACGAAATTGCACCTATATATATATATATATATACATACATATTTAATGATCTATGGCTGCTGGAAGTTTATCTAATTACATTTTATTTAAATATTTATTCAGAAAAAAAAATTACTGGTAAAATATAACTAGGTAATTGAGCACGGTTTTATCAGACAGGAGGCTTTGATTTATCAAATGTGGAATATCTGGTTTTTAGTGTTCCATAATCTTAATAGATGACTGTCCTCAAAGTCAGACATGTACAAGCAACAGCAAAGCACCATGGGAGAAATGCTCCACTGGGCTATATCAAGCCATCCAGCAATTCACACATTAAACTCTGGATATCTACACAAGGGAATGATTTCATAAGAATGCCATAAGAGAGCCTCTTATGAAATAAAAGAAAAATGAAAAAAGACAGTTTTCAGTCTTTTTTGTCACTGCCAGATCTTAAAGATAAACAGAGAAATCCACCCACTCATGGTGAGATGGGAGGGGTCCTCCTCCACCTCCTCCTCCTCAACGTCTCTGCACCAGACGCCTGCTCTCTCACAGGTCAGCTTTACATTCTTCATTTCCCCTACCCTCTCTCTGCATCTAACGGTGGCTATATGTTAAATGCA